CTCCTTCATGTTGACGTGGTCCCTGGAACTTTTTGGTGGGTGAAAGCACGGCTGCCTGTGCTTCACGACCGGCACAGTAATCTTCTCGGACACCTGGCCGCAACAATCTTTTTTTTTTTTTTTTTTGGGGGGGGGGGGGGGGGGGGTTGGACCAATTCAAGGGGTACGCCTTTCGGAGCACTAGGAACATTGCCAGACCTCCCAATGGCCTGATTTCATCCTCAAGCTGAATGCTTGCACACCAAGGCTACCAGCTCCAGGAAGCATTCCCGAGCAGCGAAAAAGAATTTAAACTTGAGAATGTTGGGTTACCTGGGTTATGCAGGCTTGATAGGTCTGAGACTCTCGGATGCTTGGGTACTCCGGGAAACAGGCTAAGGGTGAGCGCGTGTGGCAACGTCACGACGCCACCCGTGCCGGTGTGGATTTCGGCCATCATCCGGCCGCTTGCCCGGGAAGTCCAAGTTGGCTTTTGCTTGGGCGCAGAATGGCCTATGTATGCCTCTGTGGTGGACCTAGCTCAGGGCATGCCAGAACATGGCGCCGTCTTGCAGACATAGGAAGTCCCCCATACGGCTCCCCTTATGTTTAGTAAAAATTTAGGATGCCCACAAAGGATCCACAAATCTAGAACCCCATAATCCTACAGTCCTAACGTGAAGGACAACACCCTGAAAAACCTGGGCCTACTAAAACAACCAAGCCGTAAACCCACTGGAAATGTCATAAATGTCCGACAGCCAAACCTCTCTTGCTGAGGCAACTGTGGAAAACTTATATCTTTCAAATAGCTACGTCCTATGACCCACTGCTTTTGTTGGCTAGACACGCGTCCCTCCAATGGGTTCAGAGCTGAGGATTGAGTAGTCAAGCGTAGGTCAGCATGCACATCCTCCACTCGCGAAACGCTCCACGCCGCTCTACTATAGCTGCAGCTCCCATCCAGTCTCGTGCGAGGCGTCGACGTGACCAATCGCAGGGGCATGCCAAAGGCTTCAGGAGAACTTGTATAACTGTACATTTACAGAACACAAATCCTCACATGCAGACTTGTCGACCTGCTGCAGTCCTCCAAGCGCCCTCGCCCCAACACATAAGCCTCCCCAAACCCTGCCTCCTGGCGTGCAGCCCACTCCGCCTCCGCGGCCTTCTCGGCTGCCTCGGGGTTGGCGAAGCGCTACAGGGCTTTAGGGTTTAGGCTCTAGGGTTTAGAGAATCGGATTCAAAGTTTGAGGGTTCAGGGGATCAAAAATCTTCAGGCGCGTGCCAGGAACAGCTCTGACCGCTCAGTGTTTCTCCGAACCGATCGTCTGCAAGAAAACGGACAGCGAAAGGTAGGAAAGACGCCGAAAGCACAAAGGAGCAAAAACACAAGCATAGACGCGACAGCAGAAGAACTTAGCAGAAAACAAACACGTATAAACACAAGGTAAAAGGCGAAAGACGACAGAGCATACGTGAAGAAACAAGAATAAAGAAAAGCGAAGACAACACAAAAGCTCAAGCAACGGCAACAGAACCCTAACAGCAGTCTCATGCAGTACCAAGCTTCAAGCCGCCAGGCGCGAGCGAAAGTCGTCGGTCACGTGTGTTGGCATCATGACCTGGCAACAATGCAACAAGGGAAGGTGAGGGTTTAGGGCTTCTTCAGTTTCATGAGCTTCGCAGCTACGCCAGGCCTTATGGGCATCGGTGGAGAGGCCCTCCAACCTCACCTTCTGCTTGACCAAGTTTGCCGCCACTTCTCCCCTGGGCGTGAGAATCGTGCTGCACTTGGAGAAGGGGTGTTCACCGGCGCGCGCTGCAGTGCGCTTGCACGCCTTGAGCAACCCTGAGAGCCCAGAACCCCCTTAACTACGTAAGCAAAATAGACCTTCAAGCAGAATACGGGCCCGATATGAGCGACTGCCAAAACCGGCTGGCGGTGCTAATGGACGTAACATGAGGGGTGTCGTTTTTCAAGTGTTCCCATCGTTTTGCAGCGTTCTAGCATCAGTTATCCACGCTTGATGTCTGAAGGTGTCGCTTTGGGAAAATTCAAGGTTATAGCCCAGGCCCACCAAAACGTGTCATTAACTTAGGGGTGTCGCTTTTCAGGTGTTCCCATCGATTTACAGGGTTTTGGGCATTCATGTCCACCCATTGCTTGCCTATCGGGCCCTCAAGGCCCGAAACACTCAACCCTGCATTCTATAGAGCGCTCACAACCCCTACACTGAAGCACCAGAAGCCGAACCTTAGCCCCGAGGAGCAGTTCGTCTTTCTCGGGCTCCTGGCCCGTGCACCGATGCCCAGATGGCAGGCTGCCCAGGAGCCTGGTCTATGTCTGTCAGGTGAAGGGTCTCGACTAGGCTCTCAACTTTGGAGCTGCAAGGTTCGGATGAGATCGCAGGGCTACAGTGCTGGATCTTTCTGACAAAAGCTGCCTGACGAGGACCCAGACATGCATCCTTGCCAAGCGTTCTTTGCCTATGAAGCTTCCGAGTCAGCTGCTTGCCGCTGAAGTGGACTTCGAGGAACCCCGTAGCCTTCCGAACAGAGGCGGCATAAAATTCTGACTGCGAGGCAGTACAAAGATGTGCAGCAACCTGAGGCGCAGAAAAGATCGCCCCTCCAGCAGGTATCTGCGTGTCTGTCTGAGCTCCGTGTCTGAAGGCACATCACAAGGCACTGTGCCAGCTTACCGACATACCACCTCGGGATGAAGCCAAAGTGGCCCGGCCTGTCTGGCTCACGGCACCTCTCGACTTAGACGCCTGGGACAAAGCAGGGCATCGCGGTGTGTCGTGGGGTTTGGAGGCCTTCTGCGCTGTTGTGCCTTGGGCACTTGGGTTAGCTTGGGTTGTCGCATTCTCGACATTCAGGCTTCCATCGCTTGAACCCTGCACTCTAGCCGCGACCCTGACCATCACGTTGGATTGAATCGCAACACCACAGGACATGAGCAGAAGCAACCCGCACTACCCCGCAAACCCGCGAACCTCCAAGGAACCCACAGAACAGGATCGCGCAGACCGCGAGGCCTCGATGGTGCGCCGCCAAGGGCTCGCGGCCGGAAGCCCTCCCGAGTTGCCTGCACGCGGATCTTCATGGGATCTGCCGGGGTCTGCTGCTGAGTTTCGAAACTGGCGCACGCGCGTGTTCGACTTTGAACCCCAAAACCAGCCAAGACCCCTCCAAAACATCCCCCCGAAATTCTTTCCCTTCGCAGAACTTCGCGGCAGGCCTGGGTCTGCCCACCGCCACGTGCCATCGAAGCCGGGGCGCTGCGCCATCGGGAAGAGAGACTCAGAGAGCAGGCCACACAACCCTTAAATGCAGCGCTGCGCGGCTCACTGTGGGCCCTACTGCACGGAATCTTACCTTTGAGCACTGGCTCACATCGGGGTTTGGGATGTGAACCTACTGCCAGGGAATTCCCAGCTTGAGCGCGGTTGCATCGCTGCGGCCGGGAGAGTGATGAAGGAACCAGCGCTCTGTGCGTTCTCCCCAACCCCTAAACTCTAAATCCTACGGCCTGAGAGCAGTGTGGCCTCTTTACAGCTTTGGGGGGTTGAAGGTTAAGGGTGTACGCTCTACTACAGGGGAAATCCTCACTGTGGCATACTCGGGCGCGACCGCAATGGAATATTTGCCAACCGTGGCATACACTTCATGCTGCCGAATGCTCGGCCTCTGGGGACGTCGGGTTGGGCGGCTTCTTCACGGCTCGACCACGACGGCTGTACGAGAGTTGGCACCAGGCCCGTTCCTCTTCCTTGTCTGCTTTTCGGCTTCAGTCCTTGCGATGTCACATGTACCTTGAAGTACATTGTGCATTGGAAGGGCCGAGGCATGTGAGTTGTGCTACTTGTGCGACCGCAGGCGGACCTTTGACTTGCCTTTGTTAGCGCCACGGCCCGGCTACCGGCTGTGAAGAATCCCTTCGGGATCAGGCTGCCGTATCGCATCGCAGCGCCAACTACTGATGGACTTCTGACGACAAGGGGTGGTTTTTTCCCTTGAGCCAGCCTTGGCATTGAGGGTCTTCACGGCTGGTTGTAAGCTGCCTTTGGAAGGATTCACTTGAAACAAATACAGAACTCTACCCTTCAATCCCTAAACCCCTCAACACAACCTCATAGGCCGAAGGTCCCGGCAGCACAAAGTCAGTACAGCAAATGACCCTGAACCCCAAAACCCCCAAAACCCCCAAAAAACCCAAAACCCTAAACCCCAGAACTTGATCTCCAAACCCCCCAAAAACCGCTCGAAACCCCCAAAAACCCCTTCAACAAAAACTTTCCCATCGCAGAACTTCGCAGCAGGCCTGGGTCTGGCGCCCGATGATGGCGCAGCGCCCCGGCTTCGATGGCACGTGGCGATGGCCAGACTCTGGCCGCCGCCACGTGCCATCGAAGCTGGGGCGCTCCGCCATCGGGAAGAGAGAGCAGGCCACACAACTCACACAACCTGCCCTACTGCACGGGACCCACTCTTCGAGCACTGGCTCACAGTGGGTTTGGGATGTGAACCTACTGCCAGGGAATTCCCCTCGAGCACGGTTGCATCGCTGCGGTCCGTCGAGTGCTGAAGGGACCCGTGCGCTGTGCGTTCTCTCCAAACACCCTCAACCCTGAACCAACCCACAAGCACACTACAAAGGGGAGGGGCAGAGGGAGGGGGATTCTTTCCTAACCAAATGCCGTCCACCGGACTACAGGGGCGATAGCCGTGTCTTGGACATTGTGTCGTTGAAGGCTTGGGATTGAAGAGGCTTACAGCTTTGCGGCTTTACTAAGTCTAGGGTGACGGGTGCACGCTAGGCTCGTACCGGCGCTGTCTTCAACTGGTAGGGGCACATAGAAGCCTAGAGGCCTCAAGAAGACCTTCGAGGCCGCACAAGGCGAAACTTCTGTGAGCAGGGCAAGCACTGGTAGCACTGGCTGGGCAGCTGAGCAGAGGGGCGTTTACTTCTCCCTATCTTCTGTGCACTCCCTGCGCCGTTTTCTTTTGCGCCTTCAAATGCGCTTGTCCTTCGCGACGCAGCAGCCTGACCGAAGCGCGGGATTGGACCCCGAGATGAGCACCGACCGTAGGGTTCAGGGCGTATAGGACTTTGGGAGGGGAGAGGGGGGGGGGGTGTGGGGTTCAGAGTTTGTTCTTTGCCATCACCTGGTACACTCGGCTGAGCCTGCGTAGCTGCCCAGGAGTTGCAGGGCCTCAGCTTCATGCCCCGATTTCGTCTACCTCGATCCCAAGAAGGTGTCTCAAGTACAGCGACTGGCCTGTGCGATCCAACCTATAAACCCTAACCCCTAAACTTCACGATACCTCACTGAAGCACACCACGCCCAGCCGAAGCGACCCATCGGCAACCCCATTCTGAGGGGGCTCAATAATGGGCCCTTTTGAGGGGCCCTAGATACCGGGAAGACCAGAATAACCCCTTTAAAAATTATTTTACTTCGAACATCCCCACCCTCTCTTGGTAGAGATACTCTGGGGTTAGGCAACACTCCGGGGTTAGGCACTCCAGGGAGACTCTAGGGTTGGGCACTCCACGGAGACTCTGGGGTTGGGCACTCCAGGGAGACTCTGGGGCTGGGCGCTCCGGGGACACTCTGGGTTAATCCTCTGGCTCTGGGGTTGGGCACTCCTCCAGGGAGACTCTGGGGCTGGGCGCTCCGGGGACTTTTGGAGCCCAACTTTGCAGCCGAAAGGGGGAGTTGTCAATCATGATGGTTCTCGTGCATTTTGGGCTGGAAGCCTCTTGCTTGTTCCCCACACCTACAGCGCGACACCTAAACAAGCAGTCGGACTGTTCACAGTGTTCGCAGCCCCAGATTCTGTGCTCAGCCCGCGGCAGCGAAGAGGAGGGAGGGGGGCTCCTGAACCAAGGTCTTAAGGCGCTTCGGGAGCATTTTCTGGTCCAAAATGGTGCAGGGCTGGATTTTGCCGGAGCTTCCCACTTCGGCTGTCACAGCGCTCAATGCCCATAGAAGCTGAGTCTTAAGTTGAACATGGCAGGGCAACTGCAAAAGAAGGATTAACGGCGGTAGAAGGGTCCTGCAACTTGCAGCCCTTCCATAAGAAGGAAAAACGATGCAAAGGTTGCAGTGCCACATAGTACCAAAGTAAGAATCAACTCTGGCAAGTTCACTGCTCTTCCCCTTCCCGTCGGACCTCCTCCACCACATCGGTGTCAGCGCCGACACCTTCTGCCTGCTGCTCGGCTTGGGATGTATAGGTTTTGGGGTTTCAGGGCATCGGGTTCAGCAGTGTCTGAGGTGGGGGCTTGAGGTGTTTTTGTAGTTTTGGAATGTTTTGGAGCACGAAATCAACATACAAGTAGAGCTACAGGTTCAGGAATGCCGGGCTCAGGGGTCTAGGGAAGGCCTTACGAGCAACAACGGCCTTTTGCCAGAATCCTCGGCCGTCCAGCAACCCATGTGCCGGGGAAGTACTTGGAGGTTCCTGTTTAGCTTTAACATGGAGGGGTACGACTGGACCTGAAGTGAACCAAAGTCCTCCACCCCTCCCGCTCTCTCTGCTGTGTTGCGAACCCTGTGGAACCCTCAGCCCATCCGCCGGATCCTAGATGGGCACCTCCACGTGACAGGCTGTGTACTTCACATGGGGCACCTGCCGGATCCATTGATAAACTGAGGGTTGAGGGTTTAGGTGTTAGGTTTGGGTTTTTTGGGCAGGGCTTCTGCCCTTTAGGGCCGTAGTTTGGGACAGGTTGAAGGTTTCAGGTCGATGCCCTTGCCCGAGCCTGAATCTTCTTTTCGACCTCCTGGACCATGGGCACCTGCCTGACAGAGCAAGCTCCCTTCCACAATCCCAGGCCACATCTGTGAGTGGCTTGTGGAAATATACAGTTCCCAGATGCATTGGAAAGGTCATGTTGCTCTAGCAATGTCGACTCTAAAAATGCGTCATGGTGCTTGCAACTGGTGTGACAACAATGACTGCAACTTGCTGGCTGATGACATGCTTGTAAAAAGACTCTGCAGATGCGTGCTTTGGATCCGAGCGCTCGCCTTCTCAACCAACAACAAGCCACCGCCCAGCCCAGAATGGACTCCTTCATGTTGACGTGGTCCCTGGAACTTTTTGGTGGGTGAAAGCACGGCTGCCTGTGCTTCACGACCGGCACAGTAATCTTCTCGGACACCTGGCCGCAACAATCTTTTTTTTTTTTTTTTTTGGGGGGGGGGGGGGGGTTTGGACCAATTCAAGGGGTACGCCTTTCGGAGCACTAGGAACATTGCCAGACCTCCCAATGGCCTGATTTCATCCTCAAGCTGAATGCTTGCACACCAAGGCTACCAGCTCCAGGAAGCATTCCCGAGCAGCGAAAAAGAATTTAAACTTGTAACTTGAGAATGTTGGGTTACCTGGGTTATGCAGGCTTGATAGGTCTGAGACTCTCGGATGCTTGGGTACTCCGGGAAACAGGCTAAGGGTGAGCGCGTGTGGGCAACGTCACGACGCCACCCGTGCCGGTGTGGATTTCGGCCATCATCCGGCCGCTTGCCCGGGAAGTCCAAGTTGGCTTTTGCTTGGGCGCAGAATGGCCTATGTATGCCTCTGTGGTGGACCTAGCTCAGGGCATGCCAGAACATGGCGCCGTCTTGCAGACATAGGAAGTCCCCCATACGGCTCCCCTTATGTTTAGTAAAAATTTAGGATGCCCACAAAGGATCCACAAATCTAGAACCCCATAATCCTACAGTCCTAACGTGAAGGACAACACCCTGAAAAACCTGGGCCTACTAAAACAACCAAGCCGTAAACCCACTGGAAATGTCATAAATGTCCGACAGCCAAACCTCTCTTGCTGAGGCAACTGTGGAAAACTTATATCTTTCAAATAGCTACGTCCTATGACCCACTGCTTTTGTTGGCTAGACACGCGTCCCTCCAATGGGTTCAGAGCTGAGGATTGAGTAGTCAAGCGTAGGTCAGCATGCACATCCTCCACTCGCGAAACGCTCCACGCCGCTCTACTATAGCTGCAGCTCCCATCCAGTCTCGTGCGAGGCGTCGACGTGACCAATCGCAGGGGCATGCCAAAGGCTTCAGGAGAACTTGTATAACTGTACATTTACAGAACACAAATCCTCACATGCAGACTTGTCGACCTGCTGCAGTCCTCCAAGCGCCCTCGCCCCAACACATAAGCCTCCCCAAACCCTGCCTCCTGGCGTGCAGCCCACTCCGCCTCCGCGGCCTTCTCGGCTGCCTCGGGGTTGGCGAAGCGCTACAGGGCTTTAGGGTTTAGGCTCTAGGGTTTAGAGAATCGGATTCAAAGTTTGAGGGTTCAGGGGATCAAAAAAAATCTTCAGGCGCGTGCCAGGAACAGCTCTGACCGCTCAGTGTTTCTCCGAACCGATCGTCTGCAAGAAAACGGACAGCGAAAGGTAGGAAAGACGCCGAAAGCAAAAAGGAGCAAAAACACAAGCATAGACGCGACAGCAGAAGAACTTAGCAGAAAACAAACACGTATAAACACAAGGTAAAAGGCGAAAGACGACAGAGCATACGTGAAGAAACAAGAATAAAGAAAAGCGAAGACAACACAAAAGCTCAAGCAACGGCAACAGAACCCTAACAGCAGTCTCATGCAGTACCAAGCTTCAAGCCGCCAGGCGCGAGCGAAAGTCGTCGGTCACGTGTGTTGGCATCATGACCTGGCAACAATGCAACAAGGGAAGGTGAGGGTTTAGGGCTTCTTCAATTTCATGAGCTTCGCAGCTACGCCAGGCCTTATGGGCATCGGTGGAGAGGCCCTCCAACCTCACCTTCTGCTTGACCAAGTTTGCCGCCACTTCTCCCCTGGGCGTGAGAATCGTGCTGCACTTGGAGAAGGGGTGTTCACCGGCGCGCGCTGCAGTGCGCTTGCACGCCTTGAGCAACCCTGAGAGCCCAGAACCCCCTTAACTACGTAAGCAAAATAGACCTTCAAGCAGAATACGGGCCCGATATGAGCGACTGCCAAAACCGGCTGGCGGTGCTAATGGACGTAACATGAGGGGTGTCGTTTTTCAAGTGTTCCCATCGTTTTGCAGCGTTCTAGCATCAGTTATCCACGCTTGATGTCTGAAGGTGTCGCTTTGGGAAAATTCAAGGTTATAGCCCAGGCCCACCAAAACGTGTCATTAACTTAGGGGTGTCGCTTTTCAGGTGTTCCCATCGATTTACAGGGTTTTGGGCATTCACCCATTGCTTGCCTATCGGGCCCTCAAGGCCCGAAACACTCAACCCTGCATTCTATAGAGCGCTCACAACCCCTACACTGAAGCACCAGAAGCCGAACCTTAGCCCCGAGGAGCAGTTCGTCTTTCTCGGGCTCCTGGCCCGTGCACCGATGCCCAGATGGCAGGCTGCCCAGGAGCCTGGTCTATGTCTGTCAGGTGAAGGGTCTCGACTAGGCTCTCAACTTTGGAGCTGCAAGGTTCGGATGAGATCGCAGGGCTACAGTGCTGGATCTTTCTGACAAAAGCTGCCTGACGAGGACCCAGACATGCATCCTTGCCAAGCGTTCTTTGCCTATGAAGCTTCCGAGTCAGCTGCTTGCCGCTGAAGTGGACTTCGAGGAACCCCGTAGCCTTCCGAACAGAGGCGGCATAAAATTCTGACTGCGAGGCAGTACAAAGATGTGCAGCAACCTGAGGCGCAGAAGAGATCGCCCCTCCAGCAGGTATCTGCGTGTCTGTCTGAGCTCCGTGCCTGAAGGCACATCACAAGGCACTGTGCCAGCTTACCGACATACCACCTCGGGATGAAGCCAAAGTGGCCCGGCCTGTCTGGCTCACGGCACCTCTCGACTTAGACGCCTGGGACAAAGCAGGGCATCGCGGTGTGTCGTGGGGTTTGGAGGCCTTCTGCGCTGTTGTGCCTTGGGCACTTGGGTTAGCTTGGGTTGTCGCATTCTCGACATTCAGGCTTCCATCGCTTGAACCCTGCACTCTAGCCGCGACCCTGACCATCACGTTGGATTGAATCGCAACACCACAGGACATGAGCAGAAGCAACCCGCACTACCCCGCAAACCCGCGAACCTCCAAGGAACCCACAGAACAGGATCGCGCAGACCGCGAGGCCTCGATGGTGCGCCGCCAAGGGCTCGCGGCCGGAAGCCCTCCCGAGTTGCCTGCACGCGGATCTTCATGGGATCTGCCGGGGTCTGCTGCTGAGTTTCGAAACTGGCGCACGCGCGTGTTCGACTTTGAACCCCAAAACCAGCCAAGACCCCTCCAAAACATCCCCCCGAAATTCTTTCCCTTCGCAGAACTTCGCGGCAGGCCTGGGTCTGCCCACCGCCACGTGCCATCGAAGCCGGGGCGCTGCGCCATCGGGAAGAGAGACTCAGAGAGCAGGCCACACAACCCTTAAATGCAGCGCTGCGCGGCTCACTGTGGGCCCTACTGCACGGAATCTTACCTTTGAGCACTGGCTCACATCGGGGTTTGGGATGTGAACCTACTGCCAGGGAATTCCCAGCTTGAGCGCGGTTGCATCGCTGCGGCCGGGAGAGTGATGAAGGAACCAGCGCTCTGTGCGTTCTCCCCAACCCCTAAACTCTAAATCCTACGGCCTGAGAGCAGTGTGGCCTCTTTACAGCTTTGGGGGGTTGAAGGTTAAGGGTGTACGCTCTACTACAGGGGAAATCCTCACTGTGGCATACTCGGGCGCGACCGCAATGGAATATTTGCCAACCGTGGCATACACTTCATGCTGCCGAATGCTCGGCCTCTGGGGACGTCGGGTTGGGCGGCTTCTTCACGGCTCGACCACGACGGCTGTACGAGAGTTGGCACCAGGCCCGTTCCTCTTCCTTGTCTGCTTTTCGGCTTCAGTCCTTGCGATGTCACATGTACCTTGAAGTACATTGTGCATTGGAAGGGCCGAGGCATGTGAGTTGTGCTACTGGTGCGACCGCAGGCGGACCTTTGACTTGCCTTTGTTAGCGCCACGGCCCGGCTACCGGCTGTGAAGAATCCCTTCGGGATCAGGCTGCCGTATCGCATCGCAGCGCCACGACAAGACGACCTCGAGCTGCCGTGAAAGCTCAGGCAAAAAGCGAGATCGGGGTCACCAGCTGTCTGGCATGTGTCTAGGCAGTGAAGTTACCTGTTAACCCTCAACTGCCTCAACTGCCATGCTCAACATCTAAAAGAACTGCAGATGCTGCCAGCCTAATGCCACAGAAGCCGGCCAAACAATGGCCGACTCGGGTCACCTGCGACTGAAACCAGCAGCTCTTCTGGCATAGGGTCTATAGCGAGATTTGCAGGTTTCAGAGTCTCAGAGTGGCCCCTTGCAACTTTCAAGCACCAATCCCGTCGCGGGAAGCAACAAGAAAAAAAACCTCGGCGAGAACGGCCAAAGCGCACCGGCATTTCTTTCAAAGGCATGTTGCTGGTCAGCATAGAACCGAGATGGCTCGCCTGATCGCACCCTCGCGGCCCCTCTTCTCTCCTCCTCTCTCGAAACGTCTCTGACTGCCTCAACGAAGTCTATGTGGCTTGTGGGCGCCATCGAAGCGGCTGCATGCTGAATTCGAACGTGCCGTCCGTCTAGGACTTAAGCAGTTGGCTCTTGCAACTGCGACAAGGGAACTCTTTGCACCGCCGCGCGCTTCTGGATCGGCTCCGGGTACTTGAATACGATAACGATCACGGCGGCGTTGTCCGCCTTGCTTGCTTTGCCTGCATTTTGCAGGACCGACACTGCAGCATCCTCCGGCTTCGCCGTGGTGCGCAGTGCCTTCCGTGCATGGATCACCGCAAACTGCTCCTTCAGCGGATCCCAGATCCCGTCGGAGCCAATCATCACAAAGTCGATGGTGCCATCGATGTCCGCACGAAATACCTCGGGTTCATTGAGGATCCCATTCACCTTTGTGCCAGTGCTGTAGCGCACATTTCCAAAGGCTCTGGAGACGGCCACGTGCTCTTCAACGTACCCTCCCTGGACGTGGACCCCCGACTGCCGCAAACGTTCTCCTTCCGCGGCATTCTTGTCAGGAGCGTGGTCGCAGGAAATGGCCTGGGCCGTGCCATTTTTGGACAAAACGGCCCGGCAATCGCCGAGGTTGGCGATCCACATGTCCGCTCCCTTGAGCAAGCCGAGGCAGGCGACTGTTCCGGAAGATGTCTGCAGGTGGGGCATCGGGTTCTGCATCATTCTCTGGATGACCTGCTCGTCTGCCGCTTTAAACGCAGCCTTGATGGCACCCTCCACATCCTCAGCTTCTTGGAGGTACCGTCCCAGAATTTCCGGGAGGATCTCCTTGACAAAGATCACGGCTTGGCTCCCTGCATGTCCGTCGTATACTGCGAAGAGTTTGTAGCCTGCAATGTCATCCCTCACATCAACTGCGTCCTCCATTTTGGAGCGCTCGTTCTTGGCCACTGCGTAGCCGTAGTCGACGCCTCCTCCGCAGTCGTCGTCCGGAAGGCTTGGGAGGCTTGCCTCCTTGCCCCTGTCAAGACAGGTGCACAGCTGGCTCAGAAGCCACCACATCTCGACGCACGGTACGATTGGGCGCACCGATACATGTATCAGCTTGATCCGATGAGCATGGCATGGCACACTGTTGTGATTCGTGGCATGAAGCTGAGCGAAGGAGCATGACACATCTGACCGGCCCCTCCTTTTCTTTTGATTCTTCTGACACTCATGCCAATTTTGGGTCTGAAGCCGCTCTACGAAACTACGAAAGCTGCCACGCCTGAGCAGGGAACTCGGCTGGCGCCGCCGCAGCTCCGGAAGTCGTGGGCATCTTTGGCCTGAAAGCTTTCGGGGCCCGTGCGGGGCTGCTAAGATCATGGACAGGACGAACTCACAGTCGAACCAGAACAGCACGCTACATGTCACAATATCCTATATGTCCTCACAAGGCCCTCTCGTGACCTTCTGCCCAACTACTGATGGACTTCTGACGACAAGGGGTGGTTTTTTCCCTTGAGCCAGCCTTGGCATTGAGGGTGCCTACGCGAAGCCAGGTGAAACTTTTTTGGAAGTGCTCTTTGACAAGTTGAGCCCCAAAACCCTTAAGGCCCTAACACCCTAAAAGGCCCCTCAACTGCCTCAACTGCCTCAACTGCCTCAACTGCCTCAACTGCCTCAACTGCCTCAACTGCCTCAACTGCCTCAACTGCCTCAACTGCTTTGTAAAGTATTTGTTTACAAGGGACGCACGTGCAGCATAACCTCCAAGTGTCCATCTTACCCCCCCCCCCCCCCATGCGGGGGAATGATTCCCCCTTCACTTTCTGTCCCCCCCCCCAGGAGGAAGCCCCAAAAACGCCAAAACGGTGATTCCCCACATTTTCTGTCCCTCAGCCCCAAAAACGCCCAAACAGTGATTCCTTTCAAGCCCCAAAAAAGCCAAAACGGTGAAGCCCCGCATTTTCTGTCCACCCCTCCCCATGGGGGGGAAGCACTATCTTGGCGGTTTCAAACCCCAATTGCCAAAACGGTGATTCCTCCGCATTTTCTGTGTGCCCCAGCATCCCCCCCAGCCCCCAGCCCCCCCGCAGGCGTGGCTTTTTCAAGCCCAACAACGGTGATTCCCCCTCATTTTCTGTCCCCCCGCCCCGCAATGTGGGCATTTTCTGTGTCTGTTGGGGGGAATCACCGTTTTGGCGTTTTCAAGCCCAAACACGCCAAAACAGTGATTCGCCCGCATTTTCTGTGTGCCCCAGCCTCCCCCCCAAGCCCCCCAGGCGTGGCGTTTTCAAGCCCAACCGCGGTGATCATTTTCTGTCCTCCCGCCCCGCAATGCGCAGGAATCACTGTTTTGGCATTTTCAAGCCCCAAAAAACGATTCCCCCGCATTTTCTGTGTGCCCCAGCCTCCCCCCCCAGCCTCCAGCCTCCAGCCTGTTCTCATGCGGAGGAATCACCGTTTTGGCGTTTTCAAGCCCAAAAACGCCAAAACGGTGATTCCCCGCATTTTCTGTGTGCCCCAGCCTCCCCCCCACCCCAGATCCATTCAGTTGAAGTTTACAAGTCCACGCGAGCACACTGGCAGGGTTGACCCCAAACCCTTGTCAGTGTAAACAGAAAGCTTGTCGCTGCAGTTGTAAAGCTTGTCAGTGTGCACCTAATCTGTGTGTACGAACGCACTCTGGCCTTAAACTAGGCTTCGGAGATTTTCAAGGGAACATTCGGGTTTCCAGGCAAGGCTGCCAAGTGGCAGATCATGGACACCCAGGACAAACTCAGCATCGAAGCGTAGATCTCACATTCGGGCCAAAACAGCAAGCCAAATGTCACATATACCCTCACAAGGCCCTATCGCGGCCTGTCTTGGACCCGAGCTCTGCCCAATTTCTGACTGACTTCTGACGACTTGGGCGAGTTTTTTCTTGGCACTGAGGGTGCCCAAGCCAGGTGAAACTTGTGTGGCCCTAACCACCTAAAAGCCCAAACGTCGAAGCTCCAACAAATCCCTGGTGCCCCACTGCCAGGCTATTGCCTGCTCTATGAGCCCCCAAAACAGCTCGAATCAAACCCCTGGTGCCCCAGCACCCGTGTTCCTCAACGGCCTCAACTGCCCCATTCTACACCTCACAGAACTGCAGATGCTGCAAGGCTGATGCCACCGAAGCCGGCCAGCCAAAGGCCGACTTGGGTTGCCTGCGCCTGAACCGCAGCTTTACAACTTAGGGTCTTTAGTGAGATTTTCAACTCTCAGAGCCTCCTTTTCCAAACATTTTGAACTGGAGGCCTGGAGGATCATGAATGCAGGGGGAGGTGGGCAGAAGCAAGAGCGAAGAGCTTGCAAGGGAACCCACTTTCTTGTGGTGTAGTGACTACGGCTACGAACTTATCCCGAATAGGTGTCCAGTGTTGCCAGGGATAAACTGATGGCTAAGAAGCTGGGTGAACTCCCCCCCAACACAATAAGAACGACATTCAAAAATGCCCAGCCTCTCTGACGCTTGCACCCCTAAAAAGACGGCCCCATTCCCCCGCCCCCCACCCATTCCCCCCTCCACCCCGGGTACCCCCCCCCAACGATAGACGTCGAAACCAGTTTTCTACCACAGTCTGTCGTAGGGAAGGTTGCAGCACTTTCCAGCTGTATGACTAACTTGATGCAAACCCAAAATCGATTATGGATCATAGGACGACAACCAATGTTCGGAATGCTGTCTCCATTACATGAAGATATTTTTGGGTTATACGGCTTACAAATTTTATATCAGGTGCCCGAAATTTACATGTAACTACTGAGGGTCTGATCAACAAACTTGGATGTCAACTGCCAGTCTTGAATACTACCTTAAACGCCGAATGAAAGCTTTGTATTTTGCATAGTTGCGATTTAAGTTGTCGGCTTA